CAAGTGGGCGTTAGGTTTGTGCAGTCTCGGGGGTCACAGTTTTGTCACGTCTCTCGAGCGGTCCATCATAAACCGGCGAGCTATCGCCAGGTGAGGAACGGTGATGATCTGCGTCTTTCTGTGGCATACGTTCCATGGAAGTTTTGGCGCAGCGGATGTGTGCGGCGAACGCGGCTGATGACGACGGTGAAGAGATAACCTCAGATTCATAGCCTTCAGGATCTGCGAGTGAATCTCCTTCACAGTCTAGTATGTTATCTCCCAAGGATGCAGATAGAAAAGCTATAGTAGTGAATGAGGTCTCATCTCGTCTTGGTACCACGGTCGGGAGCCCTCGGGCGGTCGAACATGGCCGTGAGAAAGTATCTATGCCAGAGTCGGGTTAAGGTTCTGGTCGCTGCGCGCGTCTCCTCGCTACAGTCAGGTTACTACCTGCCATGAACGTTTCACTCTTGTTTTCATTGTCCCCAATCGCAAACAATGAAACGGTCCTTTTGGGAAACAGTCTCAGAAATACCCTATAAAGCTGGACGCGCCTGCGACGGTGACAGTCCTCACCCAGACCCAGTATGGCTCAGTCTCTCAACCCCAACCTCACTACTCACGCGTCTAAACCCACCCCTTTGGCTCAAAAGCGAGCACAGAGCGTTCCTAGCACTGCTCACGTCGAAGAATACCGCGACGCCGTCTGTCTAGATCTCAATGAGTCCGTCACCGTGGTGGCGGCGGACGACTTCCGCAGACAACTCCTTCCCGAACTTCGACCAGAGATCGACATCGACGCGGTCCTGCGGCGGTTGAACGATGACGGGACGATTCAGTCAGGCCGGTGGGCCCTCTTTCCATCCGATCCCAACGACATGATGACGCCACCACCTAAACCCACACCCGTGCACGAAGACAATGTATTCAAGAAGTTCGCGGAGCTGGCCAAAGCTGTCGAAAATGCATGTCTCCACGTCTCGACAATCACAGATACGAAAAGGCTTTGCGAGTTCAAGTGTAATCCCTCACGGGTACCAATGTGTCTGTCCCGTCATAACACTTCACGTCCCGATAGCTATGCTATTCTGTCTTCTGCGAAGGCGGTGAACGATCCAACTGAGAAGGCGCAGTGGGCGGAGGTTGCTGTTCCAGGAGAGTTCAAGAAGAGTGATAGTCCCGACGCTAGATGGGATGTGAGTACTACTCTGTTTCTTTCCCTCTCCTCGCTGCAATCGTGCCCTTTCGCTCACTCGACCTTTCCAGAATCGGAGGAAGATACTATGGTCGATGTACCACATTCTGCGGGACGATGTGAGAAGGAGATTCGTGTTCGGATATACAATTGAGAATCGGATGATGCGCTGGTGGTACTGCAGTCGCACTGAGGTCTTCGTGTCGACTCCATTCGATTTCATCCAGGTGAGTATGAAGCCAGTGTTGTGCGCATGCGGCATTACATTGACTACGTGAATTCAGGATCACAGATCCGTAGTTGAGTTCCTGCTCTGCGTCGCGTTCGCGGAAGAGCACCAGCTCGGTTGGGATCCGACAATCAAGAGGCTTCCACCGACGCCTATCCACCCGTTGCCACGATACGAGATCATCGTCCGGGATACCTTGCGGGATGAGGTAGTTGAGAGGACTTACCGGACGAAGGACCTGATTTGGAACTACGGGGCCGACGCTTTCCGAGGCCGGGGTACAAGAGTGTGGTCTGTCGTGGAGGTGGATGCGGATGGTAACGAAGGCACGGACCTGTACATCCTCAAGGATTCATGGGCGGATGTCGACCGCGAACGGGAAGGTCGCATCAACCAGCTGATACACTCTCGCGTTATCGAACAAGGCGAAGAACTTGCTCCAGAAGTATACGATAGATTCTTCATGCAGGTTCACGCGTTCGGCGACGTGTACATTGGCTCGCGCGTTGATAGGACGGACAGCTTCAAGGTCGATAGATCTGGCGAGGAGCTTCCCAGTCGAGGCACGCTCACGGTCCTGGTACGGACCGACGACGAAGGCAATCCTCAAGACGTCAAACTTCCTCGCCGCGGCGTTCCGGTTGTCACCCGTTCGATCAGACCGCGAGAGCCGGTGCTACATTACTCTCACAAGGTGCATCATCGCACTGTTTTCAAAGACGCAGGAAAGGATCTCTTGGAGGTGGATACACTTGTCGACGTCTATTGCCGGATCGAGGAGGTTCTACTCGGTGAGTCAACACGCATTTTGGGTTACTTTATTCTGGTCCTAATCTCGATCAGGGCTGGATATCTTGCACTCAGCGAACTGGGTCCACCGCGACATCAGTTACGGCAACATATTGGTCGTCAAAGGGAAAGCCAAGATCACTGATCTCGAATATGCGAAGGAAACGTCCGACCTCGGTGCGCATCATGGTGTCCGGACGGTGGGTTTTTATTCGGTAACTATCTGTGACCATCTGAGGAATCACCCAAATCTTCTTAGGGAACGCCATACTTCATGTCAGAAGAGGTCCGCGCATCTCGTTACAACT